CCATCCCTCGCCCATCCCCACTCCCACCCCCAGAAGGGGTGGTTCCCCCCACCTTACTCTATTTTCTCATCTGCAACGGACAGGACCAGACATTCAGGTGGGGCAGGGGTCCCTAAGCTTCTAGTCTCTAAGCTTCTCCTGGTTCAGCTCCGCGCCCCTTGCCCCCTGCCCTCCGCCCAGGAGACTGCCCGGTCAGCTCGGGCCTCGCTGGAAAACCCCGCGCCGGCTATTTCTGCGACCTCTGAGCCTCCGTTTCCCCATCTGTAAAATGGGCCGCCAGATGCTTCAGGGCACCGCGATCTGCGAGGGTGCCCACCCCCACGCCCACCCCACCCCCGCTCTCCCGCGCCCCCCCGTTCTACCGACCCCCCCGTTTCCCCGACACCCCCCGCCACCCCTCCCCCGCCCCCTCCCCAGTTCTCCCCGCCCCCAACCCTCGCCCCCACCCCCGCTCTCCCCGCGCCCCGACCTCGGTTCTCCCACCCCTGCGCCTCCCACTCTCCCCCCCTCTCCCCCCCCCCCGTTCTCCCGACCTCCCCGCCGCCACCCCCGCTCTCCCCGCCCCCCCACCCCGCGATCTTCCGACCCCCCCAGCTCACCAACCCTCCCGCTCACCCCGCCCCCTGCTCACCCCTCCCCCCGCTGTCCCCACCCCCTGCTCACCGCGTACCCCGGCTGTCCCCGCTGTCCCCGCCCCCTCCCCCGCTCTCCCCGCCCCCCCACCCCGCGATCTTCCGACCCCCCCAGCTCACCAACCCTCCCGCTCACCCCGCCCCCTGCTCACCCCTCCCCCCCGCTGTCCCCACCCCCTGCTCACCGCGTACCCCGGCTGTCCCCGCCCCCTCCCCCGCTCTCCCCGCCCCCCCGTCCCCGCCCCTTCCCTCCCCTCCCCCCCCCGCTCTCCCCTCTCACCCCGCCCCTCTGCTCACCTGGTACCCCCCGCTGTCCCCGCCCCCTCCCCGCTCGCCCCGCCCCCTCCCCGCTCGCCCCGCCCCTCGCCGGCCCGCGCCGCCGTCGCCATGGCGACGCGCGTACACAGGCCGGGCGGGCGCGCGGGGTGCCGGCCCGGCTGGAGACTCCGCGGGAGCGCGGCCAGGCGGCCTGGCCCGGGTCGCGGCCGGGCGTCTCCCTCCGACCAGGTGAGCGCGGCTGGCGGGGAGGCGGCGGGCGGACACCCGGGCCCGGACCCCAAGGGCCCTGCGCGGTCGAGAGCTTGGAGGGGAGGCGCGGGACCGGCCCCAGCCGATCCGGGCTCGGGGCCCAGGAGCACCCCGAGGAGGTGTCCCAACACCAGCCCGTCCTCCCTAAAATGCAGGCCCCACCCCCGCCTCCAGAGGTAGCCTGCGCGGGACCTTCAGGACCCTTCTTGCACCACGCGTGCGGCTCCTAGGTAGCCAGTGGGGTACAGCTGGGATTAGGAGGGGTGCCCGCTGGTCCCTCTGCTTTAGGGACGACGCCCACGCAGAGGTCAGAGATCCCCTTACCTGACGTTCCCTTCCTAGACGAACTCCTGCAGCTCCCAGGCCCCCCAAGACCGGTAGCCCTGAAAAGACATACGGGTCCCCTAGCCCAATTCCGAGCCGTCCAGGTGGTCGGAGGGAACGCAGGTGATTGAAGGTCTTTTGCTCCTCACTATGCCCCGTGCTTCGGCCACTAAGAGCGAATTTACAGAGTTTAACACGTTCACATTACTCCCTACAGTGTTTTCAGGCAGGGGAGTGACTGCACAGGGCAAGATTGAGATGGAGAGATATTGTCCAACCCAAAAGCTACAGGTAGAATTGAGGGTTTCAATTGAGGGTTTTCAAAAAGGAAATCATAGGGCAGACACTGAATGGGAAGATTCCTAGCCAGCTGGCTGCGCAGATTTGCTTTGATGCGTCATTTGCATTTTCATTTATTCAGCAGATGTTTGCTGAGCATCTACTATGCGGCAGACACTGCTCCAGGTGCTGGAGACAGAGTAATGGATAAAACTGTCAGGAACTGCAAAGGGACCCAGCTTTTACCTTGCTCGTGAACTAATAAGTTAGCCTGGCAAACGACACAGGACAAAATCTGTCAATGCCTCTGCTCCATAATGGGCACAGGCATAAGGTACCCAGGACGAACTTATGAGCTGGCCAAGCTAACTTATTAGTTTGCAAGCAAGGTAAAAGCTCAGGCCCTTTGCAATACAGTTCTGGCTCTCCCGGAACATATATCTGCTTGAAGGGAAACAAACAGCAAACACAACTAAATAAAGGAACAAGAAAATGTCAGAGAATGAGAAATATAAGGCAGGAAACACAGCAGGGGAATATATGCCAGGAGTGATGGAGGGCGGCCTTCAGCTAGGGCAGTCGGGGAGATGCCCCAAGGGGGGGCCTCTGAGCGGAGAGAAGGCTCCAGCCTTGGGAACATCTGGGGGTGGAGCTAAAATTCAAATCTGCACGTGATCCAAGTTCTGGGGCTTTAGTGGCATTTCCTGTGGTTTTCCTGAAGAAGAGACCTTTCTCCCAAGTTTGCATTTCAGTTTAATTAGGCTTGAGTGTGCTGCTTCCTAATGTGGTCCTCTGCCATTAAAGTGAGTAACTGCAGTGATTTGATGGCCCCAGAGCAGGGTTCTTCTGGAAGAGGAAGTGTCCCTTTCTGTGAAGGACACTGAGCTTAGTAAAATGTGTTTCTCATTACAGGTAGGCGTCACTATGTGTGAGGTATCCGCTGCTCTCAGTATTTACAAATGTAGAATCATCTGGCTGATTATGATTTCTCTTACCCCCGGGTTGGATTTTTTCTTCCTTTGAGAGGATGGAATCCTGGTGTCAAGGGCTTCCTGACATGTCCCAAGTGTCAAGAGATAGTGCAACCCCCACACACACGCACCCCACTCTGCCCCACCCAGCAACAGTGGACATGAGGGAGGTTGAGCTGCTGGCCGATTGCACAGTAGTTACATGCAAAGGCTGAGTTGCCTCCCAGACACTTGCTCCTATGTGACCTTAACCTCCCTGAGTCTCAGTTTCCCCATTTGTAACGTGGGACAGTACAAATACCTACCTCACAGGGTTGTTGCGAGGATGAAAAGAGGCAGGGCGTCTAGGAGGATAACACAGTGCTTGGCACCTGGGAGGGATTCAGTAGTTGATAATGGGGATGTGGATGAAACGTAGAACCAGACCCAGGACCCTCTATGAGCATAACTTGATGGTCTTTGTTTTTATCCACAGTCCAATGGCTTCACATTTCAGTGACCTCTCAGTGGAAAAGAAAAGTGAGGGACTTTGGTTCTTGGACATGGCATTGAGATAGAGGATGCCACACTGTGTAACTGGACATATCTTAAATCAGAATTCAAGCATTGTGTGAATTATCAACATTTTGGAACCTCCTGAAGTCACTGACGTTTTTATACTTGAATCAACAGGGACAGAACTTACTTTGAAATGCATCAAACTATAAAATGGGTGGATGCACGAATAGGCGGATGGGTGTGTGATACAACAAATAGAGCAAAATGTCAATTGTAGGATCTTGGTGGTGGGTAAAAGGAGTTCACCTTCACTTCTTTCGACTTTCCTGCACATTTGACATTTTTGTAATAAAATGTGGGGGGCAGGGGGGGAAGATGTGCAGAGTCCTGATCGCATGTCCCAACTAGAGTCTTGATACTTTGCCTTTCAAAGTTGACCCTTTCCCCCTAATTATATGGAAAGTGGAATGATTTGCAAAAAAGTGGCCTTTAAATCCTCAGTGACTGACTCAGCAGCTTCAGCTCTACAGAAGGCTTAGAATCCCTTGGATCCGAGTTCGATAAGCCCAAGATTTGTAATGATAATAATAATAATAGGAAAAACGTGTGGTTAGAACATAACGGGCATCACCCTAAATGCTTCATACATATGATTGCATTTCACCCTCCTCCGGAATACAGAGTATTATTAACTCCATCTTACAAGTGAGAAAGCTGAGACATACAGAGAGAAGTAACTGGCTCAAAGTCAGAGGGTCAGGAATATGGAACAGAATACTTGCCGTGCCGGATACCCAACCTGGTACTAAGCTTCATGGGAGGTAGACAGTGATTATCCGAGGAAGTCAGGTTTGTCATTGGGCTGTTCCAGCTCTCGGTGGTTTGTGCTCAGAGTTATGCAAAAAATGTCTTCTGTCCGATGATCAGAACCCAGCTCCTCTTTGCTAGATGTCACTGTTTAAAAAAAATAGTCTTGGGGCACCTGGGTGGTTCAGTGGTTGAGCATCTGCCTTGGGCCCAGGGCGTGACCCCAGGGTCCTGGGATCCAGTCCTGCATCGGGCCCCCTGCAGGGAGCCTGTTTCTCCTTCTGCCTGTGTCTCTGCCTCTCTCTGTGTCTCTTATGAATAAATAAATGAAATCTTTTTTAAAAAATAGTCTTAAGGGGCATTTTGCCTCAGGTCATGATCTCAGGGTCCTGGGATTGAGTCCCACATCGGGCTCTTTACTCAGCACGGAGTCTGCTTGCTGCTTCTCCCTCTCCCTCTGCTTCTCCCCTACTTGTACACACCCTCTTTCTCTCGCTTGCTGCCTCCCTCAAATAAATAAATAAACTCGTTTAAAAACTAGTCTTAAAAATCTGCAGGAATTGTGAACACTGTGAAGTCCATCTATCCACTCCTGCCTCTGCTGATTTCTCCTTTAAACATTGGAGTGTGGGCAACCCCGGTGGCTTAGCAGTTTTGCGACGCCTTCAGCCCAGGGCATGATCCTGGAGACCTGGGATCAAGTCCCAAGTCATGCTCCCTGCCTGGAGCCTGCTTCTCCCTCTGCGCCTGCCTCTCTCTCTCTCTCTCTCTCTCTCTCTCTCTCTCTCTCTCTCTCTCTCTCTCATAAATAAATAAATAAAATCTTTAAAAATAAATAAAAATAAACAAACATTGGGGTGTGTTTCATCCATTCTAAAGGTGATGTTGTTGAGTAATCAGAGGATTGCCTTTTCCTAACAAAAGTGTTTTCTGCAAACTTTATATAGGGAAAGCAGAGAGTATGAAAGCCTACCTAAAGAGCGCAGAAGGCTTTTTTGTCCTGAATAAAAGTACTACGGTTGGAAGGCATGAAGACTCAGACCTTGTTTTAGAGGTAAGGACTGTTCCTGCCCACTCCCAGCCCCTCACCCCCCTCACACACCCCTACTGTTCTGCAGACTCCTGTCTCTTTTAAAGCACACCCTCTGGCTGACAGCCACATCTTCCCTCCATGTGTGACCAGTAACCACTGACGGAATGTACTGGTTTCCCCAGCATGTATGGGGACCATGAGTATGAAGCAGAGTGATGTGCCTCTGTCCTTTGCTGACCGTGTGCACAGATGTCCCACCCATTGTCCTCTCCCTCCAGCCAAATAGGGCTGTTTGGAGGGGGTGTGTAGCTGGCACTTTGACCTTCTCCTGCTCTGGGCCTGACAGCGAGGGCCACCTGGAGTATCCAGCTTAAGCCATGGGCTCCCCCCCCCCTTCTCCAGAGCTTTTGGAGACTGTTGTGATGTGTAAAACATTTTCAGAATGTCATATAAATAGAATTATGCCGTGTGTCCTTTTGAGATTGTTTTCTTTCTCACTCAGCATAATATCCTTGCACTCCATTTTGGAGATTCTCCTGTTCCTTTTTATTGGGGAGTAATATTCCGTAGTGTAGATGTACCATCATTTGTTTGACTATTCACATATTGAGGGACATTTTGATTGTTTCTAATCTGGGGTTGTTACGGATACATCTACTCATGAATGCTTGTGCACAGATTTCTGTGTGAATGCAAGTTTTTATTTTTCTGGGATAAATGCTCAAGAGTGTGACTGCTGGACTATATGGGAAGTGTATGGTTTCTAAAGTAGCTGCCAGACTGGTGTCCCGGGCGGCTATACCATCTTACATTCCCACCAGCGATGTATGATTTTTCTGCATCTTCACCAGCAACTGGTGTTATCCCTGGTTTTTTATTTTAGCTGTTCTGCTGAATGTTCAGTGATGCCTCACCATGGTCTTCATTTGCATTTGATGTTGGACATCTTTGGACATCTTTTCATATGCTTACTGGCCTTGTGCAAATCCTCTTTGGTGAAATGTCTCTTCATGTCTTTTGCCCATTTTCTAATCACAGTGTTTGGGTTTTTTTTTTTTTTAACTATTGAGTTTTGAGAGTTCTTTAAATATTTTAGAGACATGACCCTTGTCAGATATAAGTTTGAAGATAATTTATCCTTGTCGATAGCTTGTCTTTTCACTCTTAACAGAATATTTCACGGGACAGAAGTTTTAAATTGTGATGATGTTTACTTTATCATTTGTTTCTTTCATAAATCATGATTTTTCATGTTCTGTCTAAGAACATGTCACCAAGTCCTTGATACTGAGGATTTCTTGCATATTTTCTTCTAGGTTTTGTGTTTACATCTATGAACCACTTTGAGTTCATTTTTATATATAACATGAGATTTAGATCAAGGTTCTTTTTATTACATGCAGATAATGCAGTTGCTCTAGCACCATTTGTTGAAAAGACTGTTCTTACTCCGTTGAAATGCTTTCAGAACTTTGTCAAAAACCATTTAGTCGTACTTGTACGGGAGCTACTTCTGAGTTTCCTGTATGTTTCATAGGTCCATGTGTCTGTCCCTCTACCAAAACAACATAGTCTTGATTACTGTAGTTACATAAGTCTTGAATCAGGTAGAGTGGTTCCTCCTATTTTATGCTTCTTAAAAAAAACAAAAAACTTATTTTTACCTATTTTAGTTCTTTTGCCTTCCCACACAGATTTCAATATAAGCCTGTTTATATATATAAAATATCTTGCTGGAATTTTGATAGGGATTATGTGCAAGCCTACATATCGGTACGAGAAGAACTGATATCTTTACTATGTCGTCTTCCAATCCATGAACATGGTATATCTCTCCTTTTACTTAGGGGGTCTTTGATTTCTTTCCTGAATGTTCTGTAGTGTTTAGCATACCAGCCTTGTACATGTTTTGTTAGATATACACTTAAGTATTTATCTTTTTTTAATGATTGCAAACGGCATTATGTTTTTAATTTGGTGTCTACATGTTCATTAGCAGCATATAGAAATAGAATTTTTTCCATATGCTTATATGGAATCTTGCAACTGTAACTAAACTTTCTAGAAAGTTTTTTTTGTTTTTCTTTTCGCTTTAAAGATTTTATTCACCTATTTGACAGACAGAGAAAGAGAGGGAGAGGGAGAGCTCAAGCACACAGCAGGGGAAGGAGCAGAAGGAGAGGGAGAAGCAGATTCCCTGCTGGGCAGGGAGCCCAATGAGGGGCTCCATCCCAGAACCCTGGGATCATGACCTGAATCAAAGGCAGATGCTTAACCAACTGCATCACCCAGGTGCCCCTAGAAAATTTTTAGATTTATTGAGATTTTACACATAAACAATCATGGCATCCACAAAGAAAAAGTTTTATTTCCCCTTTCAGAAAAGGAGATAATAATACCCTTAATTTCTTTTTTCTTGCTTTAATGCACTGGCAAGAACTTCCAGTATTCTGTTGAATAACAGTATAAATCTTCATATTTGCTTATTCCTAGTTTTCTGAGAGTGTTTGTCATAAATTCTCCAGTTTAAAAATAACTCAATAAACCTCCCCTTGAGATTCTCATCCATGATGTCGTCTCCCTACAAGGACACAGAAAATCTCCTCAGTTGCACAAAGTGGAGGAAAAGAAAAAAGATTGTAGATTCTTCTTTATCACCCAAGGGACAGGTTTCGGTAGTTTTATTTCTGGTCTGGCCAAAGTAGCAACAGAGATCTGTGTTCTGAACCTGAGTATGGTATTAGAAAACTAGTATCATAGGCTTTGGAGATTGACAGACCTGGGATTGAACCTCATTAGGCCACTTGCTGGCTGTGTGACTCCAAGCAAATTACTTGTTCTCTCTGAGCTCATTTTCTGTCTATAAGCCACTTACCTCACTGGGTTGTGAAAATTAAATGAGAAATGCACATAAAGCACCTGGCATGTAGGGCACCTGGGTGGCTCGTGGTTGAGCATTTGCCTTCGGCTCACGGCTTGACTCTGGGATCCTGAGATCAAGTCCCATGTCGGACTCCCCGCAGGGAGCCTGCTTCTCCCTCTGGCTATGTCTCTGCCTCTCTGTGTCTCTCATGAATGGATAGGTGGGATTTTTTTTTTAAAGCACCTAACATATGACTCTAAGTAAATGACACCATGATCATTAATATGGCCTCATAAACTGGAGATTGAGAAGAAGCCTTAAAGATGCACAGGATTAAGATAAGGGCCACTGATATTAACAAGCTGTACAGAAAAGGGGACTAATGAGGATAATTTTTATGTAGCCAGAAATCGAGTTGCATGCACTGTATAAAAATAATTGACTACCTACTGCTCCTCAGACTTAGTTTAAGGAGTAAGTCACCACCAGCAGCCACAGTCACATTGATTTATGAAGCAATCAGCTGCATTTCCAGAAGCACAAGCCCATATTGGCTCCCTAGAGAACAGATGACACATGAATTGCCAAATGTTTTGTGAACAGATTTTTGATGGGAGCTTCTATCTTCTCTTTGACAAATCCTCTTCCCCGAGCCTAAATGGATTTGGGAGAGAAAATGTGCTCTAAACAGAGTTGTGGGGGCACAGGTCCATTTTGAAGAATTGAAATTTGCAGACACGTCAACAATTCCTCATTTTATAAAACAAGACAGGGTGAAAATTGCTTCTCTGCTGACTTTCTAGGGCCTTTCTGATGGGAAGAATCACCCTTGATTAGCTGTGCGCCACCCTGAGGAATAATTCAACAGTCAATGTATAGTTTATGTTATTTGTACCATCACAGGTCATTTCATTAAGTAAAGTTCAGAAATACATATTCATAAAAAGTCGTCTTCAAAATTACCCAGAGGCTACATCTAGCAAGTAAAAAGGATTCTTTTATTTACCTGAGTAAATCCTAAACAATGGGCAGTCTCACACGTCTAGAGATTTACACTCACTGGCAAGGCTGACATATTATTCTGATTGTCGATGTCACCATATTCTGACACCATTTACTTTTTCCAATAATGGAAGGTAATTACATGTTTATTGTTTTTTAAAAAAGATGGGAGAAAGCAAAGTATAAGGAAGAAAATACAAGTCATTTGTAATCATTTGGCTCAGGGAAAAAAAATCAATATTGATATTTGCAGGGTTTTGCCCTGCAGGCCTCTTTCTATATCCTGTCAGGAGTTTGGTTCTCTAGTGGCAAAGGAAGCCTGTTTCAGCCAGGCTAGCTTTTACTGTTGTTATCAGTCATTCCTTCCACAAATATTTACCTGGAGCCTCAGCACCGAGGCAAGCCTGGGGATAAAGTGGTCAGAAAGCTGCTAGGAGAGAGACACGTAAGTCAAAGGATCCCACAAAGACATGTACGGTTCTGTTCATGTAAAGGAAAGGAATATGGACTATACGGGAGATTTAACTAGACAAGGGGGAAAGGGGAATGGCATGTGCAAAGGCCCTGGGGTGGAAGAGCATATTATGAGCCCAAGGTACTGAAAGAAAACTGGTGTGTCCAGAAGTAAGAGTGGAAGGGAGAGAGCTTAAGAGAGGAGTCAGCCCTCCTTCAGCCACCGGATCTGAACAGCATGGGGGAAAAACCTGAGGAATTTTAAGCAAGGGCAGAGACCTGCATTTTGAAACGACCATCCCGGCTGCCACGCGCAGACTTGCAATCGGGAGCTGTGTTGAGAATCTCCCCTCTGCCACTTCACCCAGCTCGAAAGCCTCAAAATGAACGAGGGTTCATTTAAGCCACAAACCTTGTGGATTTTAATGTGTGTGACTGGATGTGGCCTGTGAACTGTAATTCTTAGAGTTAGACGTGGCCGTTACGTAAACCCGACCGAGAAGGGGGCTCAGTCCTCCCAGAATGAAGACATATGGCAAGCCGGTGGCTGTAGAATTTTCCATATGTGTCAGAGTACTTGTTAGAGCAGGACCCCGGACATTCTGACCCAGTGGGTTCAGAGCAAGGCCCGGGAATCTTCATGCTCGGTATGATTCCCGGGCTCAGGTGGGGACTGGGGTCCTGTGGAGATGGTTCCAGGACC